GATTTTATTGTATTCCATTTACTATTTATTCAAAATTAATTTTTATGAAGTTTTAATATACAGACAGAAACTGCTGCAACAAAATACTGAAATAGACTGTTTGTCTTACAGTAAATAGTTAATGCAAAAACAGTCTACCAATTCGTTCAACTGAGTTTAAAATCTATTTAGATGGATATGGTTAAGAAGTCAAGCCGGGTTGTAGTTTGGGAAAGACATAACTGGTCAACCATACACGGCCCAAATACTTTGATGACCAAATTTGCTCTAAAAAAAAATATTTTTTTTTATGCCCACAACTTTGAAGAACCCTAAACCCTAAACCTTAGTTTAGCTAGATGGTTAGAGTAAGGAGAAGTCACATCAGATGGGACTTGGAGAAATCCAAGTATTTCCCTATTTTCAAATATTTATTGCTTGTTCTTTCATGACTTTGTTTTTATGAAAGAGAAATATAAATTAATTTTTTATATTTATTTATAATTTTTTAGATTAAAAATATTTTATGACTAAATTTACATGGAGTGAAAATCATAAGTGCTCAGTTACCTCTTAATCATCTAATTCATTTTAGGTTATTGGGATCATAAAAATTTTCAAAACTATTCTAATTTCAAGGAAGTTAGTGGATTGATCTCGGCCATCCAAAATGTGTATACACTGAAATATAGAGAAGAGATAATTAGCGGAGGATCCAATCTACGGCGAATTATTGTGTACAAAGATCCGACGTAAAATGTTATCCGGAGATCAACTAGAATGCATCGTGTCACCCCTATATATATTGAAAGGTCTTCCAAATTATAAACAAAAATTTTGTGATTTTTTGTATTTTTTAATTTTGTATGAAACGATTATTCCAACAATAAGATTTCAGATTAATTAGTTGTGGTATATCTTAATTATAAGAGGGGAAAAATACAGACAGCCTCTGATGCTAACTCTGTGCGGAATCTAGTACGATAAAGATAAGACATGCATTCCATCGTCAGTGCAAGAGCATTGAACCCAATATTTTCTTTTTCTGGAGTTATCTGTGCATGAAATTGATACAGGCCTGCCATCATTGTCCTCGTTATCTTTAATTTTGTACATTTGTTTTTTTGCCTGTTTCTGAAACCCCTTCAGAGAAAAATTTAAGGAGGGTTAGATTCTGATCATTATAAATAAGCGTTCAATTTTATCCGTTTCTCCTTAGATTTCAGTTTTTGTCTGCTGGCCTGTTATGAGTGTGATTATCTTGATGAAAGCAAGAAAAAATAGAATAAAAAAAAATTGGAAGAAGAGAACTCAAGCAGAAAATGGAAGAAGTAGAAGAGCACTATTTTGCTTCTTCACTGAATTAAAAAAAAAAAAAAAAACTTCAGTTCACTTAACTGTTCACGTCCCACACAAGCAATTTTAACAACTGTTTGAAAATTAAAAAAATAAAATAAGCTGAAAAGTCAAAACTTCGCTTGGTTTGAAAAAGAAAAAAATCAAACAATCTCCCCATCAAATCAAGACTTTCTTCATCCCAAGCAACTTCAATAGTTTTATGAACCTCAGTGTCAACAATGTTTTGGTTAACAAAATTAAATTAGCTACCTAATCATTTGTATTGGAGTGCTCTATGCTAATGTGACTCATCTTTATTGTATCTTTGATAAAATGATAACGAACATCAATGTGCTTATTCCTGTCATGTTGTACTGGATTTTTGGTCAAAGCGATCGTGAACTTGTTGTTCACATAAATTGTTATAGATTCATCAATCTATCCATAAAATTCCTTCAACAAATTTTTCAACCACGTTGCTTCACAAGTTGCAGCTGCCGCTGTTATGTACTCAACCTCACAATTAGATAAGGCAATAACTTTCTGCTTCTGTGTGCCCAAAGTGAAGACTATATCACCAACATAAAATACATATCCACTTGTGTTCTTTCTTTCCTCATGATCATTTGCCTAAATCGCTGTCACAATATCCAAGTAACCTCATGTCTCTACAACACTGATAATGAATGTCAAACTCAATTGTCCCACTGATATATCTAAGAATCCTCTTTGCTGCAAACCAATGAGGCTCCCTCAGATTCTCCACGAATCTACTCAAGATTCTCACACTATACACAATGTCAGGTCTCGTCAATGTCAAGTACGTATCTAAGGCTCCTAATCAAACTTTTGTACAATGTAGGATCAACCAATGCAATTTTGTCTTAAGAGAATTTAAGTAATGATAACATTCATGCATGTCATATTGTCATTATTCTTAATGTTAAGAGGCATCCAATTCAAGTGTCCTACATAGAATTTTTATTTTTTTATTTTTTTTAGTTCTTATTTGTACAAGTTGAGATCTATATTTGAGATTTGAAAATTTTCTTAGGCTTTTTTTTCCTCCCTTTTTCTTTCAGTACCGTATGCATAATTTATATCATATTTATAGCAGAGTCCTGCATTGGATACCCATACCCACACCCCGGGTATGGATGGGTATGGGTACGCCCATGACCTTGTGGGTGGGTATGGATGGGTACTCAACATCAGGTGATAAATCAATTTATATTGATAATCAACGTATATTTTATATTACTGCAATCCTCACTACGTAGTTTGCAGCACTTAACCACACTAAGACTAAGGTAAATTCTAATATGCGGCTTGAAAGTTTGCAATCATAACAAAGGCAACAAGCCTCAAGGCCATCAGTCTGTGGCAAATTACATTCAAAAAGAATGAAAAATGGGTGGGTATAGGCAGGTACAACATCCCGAAAGTCACCATGGGTGGGCATGGGTGGGCGAAGCCAATCCAAGTAGAGCATGGGTACCCAATAGGGTACCTAACCAAGACTCCATGTAGGGCTTTGATTTATAGCACATGCAATTAGGAGAATTCCGAGTCAGTACATCGATCTTATTTAAAGTTGATCATTATTGATTTTCTAGCAATTAAATTTATTTTATAATAAGAAAAAATATATATCTAGTTATTCAATTAATTTTTATATTTAGTTAGTTTGAAATAAATTTAATAATTCAAATTTATTTTAATCAAGTTGAAATGAGAATATCTTCAGAACAAAAATTTTTTAATGCAAATATGTTCATAGCAAATTTTAGTGGTATAAGATCTCTGTGTGTGTGCGTGTGGAAATAATGAATATGATTGAGTGAAAGAAACGTACGTATAATCTACTAAAATTAATTAGATTCGAAAAATATATAGAATAAATTAGAATTTATTTAAAATTTGACTACTAAGTATGAAGTTGGACTTGATCAGATGAACTCTCATAAACATGGCTTAATTTACAAATATAAAATATTGAATTCTATTCTTCAAGTGCACAATCACATCTGCATGACAATTGCTGTGTAAACGGGTTAAATTTAATTGAATTAGCACATCAATAGTATACTTAAAAGTTATACATAAATTATATATAGAATAAACATCTTATAAAAATATATTATAAAAAATAAATATATGAATATGCATTATTTCAAACACATTAATATATATAAATCATATATAGATATTTTTATTTATATATTGAGTTAAACATGATCAAATAAATTTTATTTATATATTGAATTATAACTCTAGTCGAATTCTAAGTAATTATCAAATTGAATATGTTGGGATAAGAGCAGATGAGCTTTTTTTTTGTGACAATTATAGATTATGAAAGGCTAAATATTTTCATTTTATTTAGTTATTATCATTGGAAGTCTTATGAAGTGAGTTTGGCAGAATTCCATGCAGGCCTTTCTCAAATCGTCCACTTGGGGTTTGCTGAACCCAAAACTATATATAATATGGGCTTTGAGAACAAAACCCTACATGGGATCTTGACTGGATACCCATGCTCTGTGCGGGTGGGCTTTTTCCTACCCCGCCCACCCATGGTGACTTTCGGGATGTCATACCCACCCACTTTCTACACTTTTGGAGCACAGTCCGCCACGGGCTTATAGCATTCAGACCTTTTTCCCTTTGCTCTGACTGCAAACTTTCAAGCCACATATCATAATTTATCGTGGTCGCAACGCAGCTTAGTGATGTGCACTGCATAGTGAGAATTACGGTAATATACGACATACCGTCATTAACAATGTAAATCGATTTATCCCTCTATATGAGTACCCAATGTAGGAATCTGTTTAAGAATTTCTTACTAGACCAAAAACTAAAAGGAACCATAGCCACTTTTCAATGAAAATCTATGGTACGTAAGACACGTAGAGATTAAAATCAATTTAAAAAAAATTCAAAATTGGGGGATTGGGATGGGCTCGAAAAGAGTAGCATTTTAGTGTAATAATCATAATTTCGTAGGACTAGCAGCTTACAAATAATTAGCTTTAACTTTATCAATCGAATTTGAGTGTCTCTACTACAGTTTTCTAACATGGCGTAATGGCTATTTAATCATTGCAATCATTGTGAATAGTTTATTAACTTTAGCGTTTTTAGAATAGTTTAAGACGAGTTATATAAATATGATTATAATTCTCTTATAGTAAGGATTAAGTAATCAATATTAGCTTTTGTTAGCATAGCTGTTTTTGAAGGAATCTTAATTTAGAATATGTATGTCATGTGTTTTATAATAAGAATGGTTAAGAAATATAATATAATTGATACATTTCCTTAAGAAATTGACTTGATTAGTTTGAATCTCTATATGCAACATTCAAATTGCAAATTTTTTTAATCCAAACCATAATTTCAGCAAACTTACAATGCAAATGAACGTCTAAACGATTCGAACACATCATCGACATCACAAATAATCCAATATAGTCACACAGGGCCCAACGTAGCTAGTTCTACTCATTATCACCCTTAAAAGTATAGAAAGTTTTATATGTACCTCAAAGTATATGCTGTATTACAGAAACAGTAAAAGCCATGATTAAAAATGTATGAACATGAACAAAATAGATTAACATCGCCAATGATTTTAAATCTGTTGTAAATAACCTGTGTGCATTAAAAAAGAAATGAAATAAATACAATCATCTTAAACAAATTCATAAAAAGGCCTCAAGTTAAATAAGATTCATCCCAGGATCTCGCACACTAACAATTTCCTTTTTCAAAAAAAAAATTTACACTTCAAAGGGAGAATGGTAATTCCACAAGAAAAAGAAATGCTAAATTGGAGAAGTTGACAACAAGAAATCAGGCATTGACCTCTGCAGCATAATCCCACAAAACGGACACAACGGTTTTAAGCGTTCCCCCACTGCATAAGATGTTCTTTCATTTCGAAAATATAGAGGAGAATTTTCCATTGTGAAGAATGAGTAAGGAAGAAGGTTAGCAGCCCATCTCTTGCAGCACATGCAGAACCAAAGTGGCTCTGTCACTGAGCAAAGTCTCATGGACACTACACATCTTGTTAGCTTATGTCTTTCCTTGGAACCCTGCCGATTCACAATACCTTGACACCATGCTACTTCTGGAGACTTAAAGAGTACTGGAGCTGAACAAAAACTGCAGCTCTCATCCTCAACGTATTCGTATATGCCATTATTATTCCTGAAGTTGCAATAAAAATACAAATTTAGCTGTTTGTTACATGATCTTAAAATGCAAACATAGATTGGGATATGGAAGTCCATCTTTCACCAGTACAAAACTATATAGATACAACTATCAAACACGAAACTCTATAGATACAACTATCAAACACGTGACGAATAAGAATATGGCAAAGCCATATCCAATTAAAATAATATTTAAATTAAAAAGGGCATGCACATATGATATGCGTGTCTTATTAAAAAATGAAAAAAAATGTGATGGTAGCGGCTCGTATTTCGTATCCATTCCCGCGACCGCAAGATGAGAGTCGGGGCTTTTTTCATTTTCGTGACAACAAACTGTAATTTAGGGCTTTTTCATTTTTGCAACCACGAGCGTGCATCTGTTTCGTCTTCGTCAAACAAGTAACACACGAGCAGGCAAGACGAGGCGACTTGACGATTGCAAGAAGATCATTTATGCGAGCGCTGAGCAGTAATCTTCGTCTGTCTCCTTCGTAAAAGGAGCAATTCGCGAGTTCACCAAGCAGGCAAGACGAGGTGATTAGGTGACAAAGATCGAAGGAAGGTTCGTTTTCATAGTCATCTTCTAATATTGCCTTCTTTAAATTTTTTTCACGAGGAAATTTCATTTTTTTGGTTGCTTCTTTGGTTGGTTCTATATGTTTTTTGACGAAATACATAATATAATGATCTAGAAGAGTTAACTGTGAAAGCTATGTGTACTTTATAGGATTATAAAGTCATGTTTAGCTTAGCTTGTGATTTTACCCCATTTTGACTTTCTAAGTCCCTTTTTTTTTTCTTTTCAACCATTTAATGAAAGTTCTTTAGTTTGTGCTTTGAATATAAGTATTAAGTAGGAAATAGTTGCTTTGCTCTTGAATGCTTTCACATGTAAAATTTGCTAGTTCAACCAATTCAATTCACAAGCGATTGAAGGTCCTCATGCATATTGTCTCCCTTTGCTCTTTTTTTTCAAAAGCTTCATAAATTCTTATTTATAAAAATATATTTACAAAAAAAATATTGGAATCATGCCACCAAATTTGAGCTTTGATTATCTAATGAGTTTAACTCTATAATGGAATTATACCACAAAATTCTTATTAGCTAGAATTCTTGAAATCATGTCACAAAATAGTGGAATCATATCACAAAATTAGCCAAAATTAGTGGAATCATGTGGCAAAATTCTTATTAGCCAATGAGTTTAACTCTTCCCTTGAGCTATTGATTATTTAACCTTTGAGCTTTGTATTTGGAGTTCTAACATTTGAGCCTACAATTTGTGTTGATCCTTTTATTATTTCTTAGAATAATGAGCTCTAGTGGAAGTAAAATTGGGACTGGTGATGGTTCATCAGAGCCCAACATTGAAGATGGAAAACCTGTGGAGTCATGCCACAAAATTAGTAAAAGCTTATGAAGGTAGGGGCAATGTTGCATTCAAATGCAATTACTATAATATCAAATATAAAGAACCATACTATAGATTTAAAGCTCATTTATTAAAAATTGTTGGGTATGGAATTAAAATTTGCCCAAAAATAAGTTCATCACATGTGGCTGAATTACAAAAGAAAGTAAAGCTGAGCAAATGAGTAGAAGAAAACTTCCTAAAGAGATTCCACCTCCAAGTTCCTAAGTTGGTCATTACTGATAATGATGGTGGAGCCTCCAAATATCATCCAGGTCATTACCGATAATGCACTAGTTTGTATAGCAAGCATACTTGTGGAGCAAGCATATCCTCACATTTTTTGGATACCATGTGTTGTGTACAAACTTAATCTTGTCTTGAAGAACATTTGTGCGGCTAAGAATATTGAGGCAAATGAAATCACATACAATGAATATCATTGGATCACAAGGATTGCAAGAGATGTAATTATAATTAGAAATTTCATTATAAATCACTTCATGAGACTCTTTATGTTTAATGATTTCTCTAATTTGAAAATACTTGTAGTTGTTGAAACTCATTTTGCCTCAATTATTATATTGAGAAGATTAAAAAAATTTAAAATGCACTTTACTCTATGGTGACCAGTGAGGAATAAAATTGTTTTCTAGAAAATATTAGAAAGGCAAGGCATGTAAAATAGCATATTTTAGATAATTTATGGCGGAATGACATTGAGTACATCTTAAATTTCATTGATCCAATTTATGAAACGTAAAGAGTGATAGATAGAGATAAGTACTATTTATATCTCATGTATGAAATGTGGGATTCTATGTTAGGCAAGGTGAAAGAAATAATATATAGATATGAGAGAAAACCACTTAATGAAAACTTAAGTTTCTGATGTATTATTTATACTATTCTTAAAGATATGTGGAGCAAAAGTAACACACTTCTATATTGCTTGGCTCACTCACTAAATCTAAGATAAATTTTAACATTTCATTCATTATTAATTCTCAATTTGTTGAATAATAATTATCTGATTCTATTTTATTTTACTATTATTTAAAGATATTCAAGTAAAGAGTTACTTCGAGAAGATCCTCAATGAGTGTCTCCACATAAAGATTTAGAAATTTCAAATATGAGAAAGGAATGTTTGAAGTGTTATTTTTCAAATGATGAGAGAAGAATGGTCAATATAGAGATTGCTAATTTTTTTGTTATTTAGAAGACTTTTATGCCCAAGAGTCATTGTGTGATAGGTGGAGAATGGATACGAAGATGTGGTTGATTCATGGAGCTTCAACACCTTTAGTTCAAATAATTACGATAAAACTTCTTGGTCAGGTTTCATCATCCTCTTGTTGTGAAAGAAATAAGAGCACATACTCTTTCATCCAATCAATGAAGAGAAACAAAATTACTCCACAACAAGCTGAAGATTAAGTTTATGTGCATACAAATCTTTGGCTTCTATCAAGAAAGACACCAACTTACATGGAAGAAGATAACAAGATGTGAGATGTTGCTGAAGATGGATTTGAGTCCCCTAATAATATGGGAATATTGGAGATTACTAATTTTTCACTTGATAAGCCTGAATTATAAGCAATTATATTTATTGAATATATAAGATATAGAAGTCACAAGACAAATCTTTGAAGAAGCCAATCCTATCATTCCTTCTGCTGAATAGTTAAGACTTCATTACTATATAGTTTATGTTTATGTTTTTTTATGTTATATTAGACATTTTATGCTTACTTTCATTTTAACATTATAAGCTACAAGACTAATTATGATGTTGCTTTTTTTTTTGTCATTTTAAATATTATACTTTGATTGTTATCTTAATTTTAATGCATGCTTTATAAATTATAATGATGTGTCCACACCGTATCCATATCTTGTATTTTTAATAATTGACGTGTCCCATATTCGTATCAGGTTGTATCCATATCGATGTATCCCTATCGGTGCAACATAGCTAATGAGATTCATTCCCTCAAGCACCTGTACATATTACACATATATTTACACATATTTACACCTAATGCGGTTATTGTGTGATAGAAAAGTACCCCTCAAACTTAAGGGAAAATTCTATAATATGGTAGTGAGGCCTGCAATGCTTTATAATGCCGAATGTTGGCCATTAAAAGAGAAACATAATATTAAGTTAAGTGTGATAGAGATGAGGATGCTCAGGTGGATGAGTGGCTTTATCCTTAGAGATAGGATATGAAATGAGCATATACGTGAAAAGGTTGGAGTAGCTCCAGTAGAAGATAAGATTAGAGAGAGTCGCCTTAGATGGTTTGGTCACATAAAACGGCAGCCTTATGACGACCCGGTTAGAAGAGTACAGGTATTAAATTTAACTTATGTTAAGAAAGGTAGAGGCAGACTTAAAAAGACTTGGTTAGAAAATATTATGAATGAACTTTCTTTATTAGATTTAAACGAGATTTTGACTTTTAATATGACACAATGGAGAAAAATGATTCATGTAGCAGACCCCACGTAGTGGGATAAAGGCTTGATGTTGTTGTTGTTGTTGTTGTTGTTTCATTATCTTCTGTACTCAAATAATTTGCACCGCATGTACAAAGCCAAAATGACCTCCATTAAACCAATATTTTTGCCTCTAGAAACCTAAAATTCTGGGTCAAAATCACTTTACAGAATGTTTTTAATTTAATCGCCAACTCATAGGTATTAAACATTAACAATAGCTCATTACAATTTTTCCACCAACACGTAGCCTAAAATTCTATGGCTAGATATAGAACAGCCGATTTTCTTCCTCCCATCATTCACTAATCTCAAATATTTTGTTAACCCAAGTAAAACGACAAAACTTGTCAAGTAGAAGACGGTTTTCTTTTGTTAACACCGTGTTGCTATTGTGATATGAGTTGCGCTATTTTTTTTTTTTTCCCATACAAATGGTAAGGACTTGTTGACGTGGTTGAGATTCAAATCTAGAACTTGACAAATTACAAAGATATTTACCAACCGGCCTACAGATTTGTATTTTATGAAATTAATCACGGCTACTCTCGTAAAAAGGAAAGGCTGTTTTGCAAGTGAGGTAACCATGATCGTGACGATATGAAGGGGGTTTTTGTCAAGTTGTAGAACTTAATTTTACCGTACGAACAAACACGTTATGCAAAGTCTTTGGTCATCTTCTTTATTTTATATCTAATATTTGTCGGTTATTTCATTAAGGTTGTTTTGAAAATTTTAATGTATTTACAACTTTCCTAATTTTTTTATAAAAAAGGGTATCATTTTTATGCTATCTTAGGGAATTAGGACAAAATTTTCTCACAGCGAAAATAATAATAAAATTTATAGTGGCCGCAATAGGACCATCAAATGGGTGAACTAATTTAAAAGTGTGTTTTTGTGCGCTGATCTTCATTTTTGCTCCCTGTTTTTTTTTTTTTTTAGGTTCAGCTATTCCCCAATAATGTTCAAATGTGCTGTAGAGATTTCCACTGTACCCTTTAAAGCTGTGGTTAAATAAGTTTTTGAAATCAACCGACATGAAAACTGTCACCTAACAAAGACTGAAGTAATGCTTGTGATTCTTTGCCATCTTGACCAAAACTGAAAATAGGCTAACACAAAGATGTGACAATTCGGAACAAGAATATCATGAAATTCTTATCCCAATCTTGAGGGTGGGGTCATAAATCTAAATGAATTAGGCGTGTGTTAGACACTATATATATGTAAAGACTTATAGATGCTTCATAATGTGAATAGTTGATGCTTAAATAAGTACAAGTGAGGAGTTGACAAATACCTGCCCCTGAGTTTAGCAACTTCTGATCCAAGAAGCTTAAGCTGACTATGAATCGTTTGATCGTTGATGGCAGTCCACTGTTCCAACTGTGCTACTCCAACAGGAGACCAATATTCACTCTCTACAGGAGTCACCTCAGAATCAGCTGTATGGTTTAGGACAGCTTGGAAAGAAAAAGCAACAAGACGCTCTTGTAGCTCTCTTTCACTTTTGAGAAGCAACTCATTCCATGGATCTGAATTACTTCCTTCGTTATTTGACCCATCAGCTTTAAGCTGATCATCTTTAAATAAATCAATCTCCATCCCATTACGCATCACCCTCCTGCAAATGATGTTAAGCAGTTGCATTTTCCGGGAACTGACCATCGAGATCTTATCATGCTCATGAAATAATACCTTCTCAACAGAATCAATCAATGGACCTGAAAACCAGCTGGATATCCATTTAGTTAATATCTTCTCAACTACTCCAGGAAAATCCTTCCTGAGGTCTCGTAATGAAGTTATTGTGTCCCAAATCACTACTGGCTTATTCACATTTTCTAAGTTCTTTAAAAACCACAATATATTGGTTTCCCAACAGGCAAACCCTAGCACAGACGAACTACTAATGGCTTCAAATCTGCAACCATCAAGTATTTTGTCATTTGGAACCTCCAAAGATTGGCCACCAGTCCAAAAAAACTCAACAACTGCTCTCTGAGACCTGCAGATGTCAATTGAATAAATTAAGCCTAAAAGCATTGAAAGAATGTTCACCATGTACCAGTTGAACGTGCTTTCCAATGTCCACTTTAGGCTACCGAATTTTATAGTGGAAAATCACCTCTTCTCATACATTTGGTGCTGAAGATTGGCATCCAAGCTGCGGACCTGAAATAAAGCACTGTATTATCACATTCGTCTGAATGCATGTAACAAGGTATTGACAAGAAAAAAAAAAAAAAAAAAAAAAAATGACAAAAAAAAAAAAAAAAAAAAAAGAGAGAAACAGCAAGAAAATGTATAGATAACCAGAACTATGACTCTGTGACTATAAAATATGCCATAAATGTTAAGTCCAGGTTTCCAAAAAAACTCAAATAGTTCAGAATTAAGGCAAGTGATGTACACAATATAGGATAAAATTAACAATTCTGCCTATGGGAATGATTTAAGTACACACGGAGAACATGAACACAGCATTCCTCTAAGAGACTGAACACTTTTAAGTATACTTAACAAAAGAATAAAAAATATTTGAAGAATCTACTCAAGCAAAATACGATGCAATAATATTTCAATAATCTATACTCATCTAATGAACCATGGCATCAAGTGGGGGGGGGGAGGGGTGGCGCGTATTCCTACTAATAGCTTACCACAGCGAGCATCAGCTCCCCAGGGGAAAGTGCAAGCCCAAAGCATAGATCAGAAACCCTAGAAAACTGCATATCAGTTTGAAAAGTATGTCAGAGCGTCTTTAAATAACCAAAATTATGCCTGCGGAACACTGTAAAATATTCATAATATGCATACATATTATAGAGGGAGAGAAATTGACTCCAATCCTCAGAGTACAATAGCCAACCTAATTTTATTTGTCTACCATCTTATACGACCTTTAAACTTAAATTCAGGTCATTGATTTGTATATGAAGATAGACCAATTTTTGAATAATTTTTATTAAGCATCTAACACCTTTTAAATGTCCCCAACAACCTATGCACTAAATAACAATTCATTCCAAAGAATCTTTACATGAAAAACTAGTAGTCATCTGCTCATCCATTAGATATAAGTTGAGAATTTTTTTATACATCTGATGCTAAAGATAGTTGTTTGGATATCACATTGTTTATATATATATATATAAAGAGAGAGGTGGGTGGCTCTAGCCGGGAAACGACCTTTAGAAATTGTTGTATATATATATATATATATATAGAGAGAGAGAGAGAGAGAGAGAGAGAGAGAGAGAGAGAGAGAGATAAATCAATACATACATTGCTAGATGCATCTGAAGCAGGAAAATTTGAAGATAAAGGTGCATCATATAGAGAATCACCATGAAAAATCCAGCTGCGGATGGAATTATCCTACATTAAGAAAGTTGTTATAAGCATGTTCAATCTAAAAAGTAAACCATATAGAAAAAAAAGTTCCAACAGGCTCAATAATTTAATTCCTATCTTCCTCGGGTAGTCATGTGGGAAGCTTCACCTAGTACGAGATGCTCTTGAGCAAGGTTTGAATGTCAGAAGTGCTAGCTCAAAAATAGTTATATTACAGTGGCATGGAATGATAAACCAGAAAAGCAGAGCCTATCTAGCATTCAACCCAATGAAAGAGCAAGAAAAGGAATTATGAGATGCCATGTTGGTTTCTTGAATTGCTAATCAACCATGGCACAACCACTGTCATCACTTTTGCACTAGATTCCAGGTATGAGTTCATACTTTAAAGAAAACAACCAGCATGCAGGAAATTACTTCACCAGCTCCCAAGTGCCCTTATCAACATGATTTAAAGAGTGAGAGCCACTCCAAAAAAAATAATAGTGGATAAGAAAAAAATGTAAGAATCAGACATTTTGGCTGGTAAGCAACATTCTGTAAGGCTCGGGCCTTTTATGTTACAAATTACGTATTGTCATCTTTCAGGACAAGCAGTAGTTGGGTGAGTCATTAGTGGGATAGGACTCATTTATTTTCATGCTAACTGAACAAAGTTAAACATAATTTTGTGGGCTCCGAAAATTTGGCCCCGACCTCCCTTGTTTTGCTTTTCTTCGGCGGAGTTTTAACGGAATTAAGTTCTAGGGTAAATTTTGAGAAGGCAGATGAGTTTGTAGATAAGACACTACCCAGAGATTTCGCCCTCATTTTTTGAGGACTTTATGATATGAGTTCTAGTTTCCTATAGGAGCAAGCCCCTATAGTTAATTACCCCTCTTGATCACGAGAGAGAACTTTCGATTAAGACTAGTCATCGATCAGATACGTAAAAATACGTGTTATCTGGCATATAGTAGCAGCTGGGCATTTGAAATTGAAAGTTTGAAGGGTTGGAAGATTTGATATTTAAAATAGAAATTTCACCAGCTTGCACTTAAAGCGGATGATGGGGAGGAATGATGATAAGCCTGATCAAGATCCCATGGTTTCGTCGTCCCGGACCATTGTGTTCCATGGTCTACTTAGTCAGAGGAGGTAGTCGACCCAACCTAACATAAGGATCCTTGTCGGCAGCCATGGGTTGCTTCGTCCAAGGGTACCTTGTAGGCCTGGGGTGAGTGTTTGTCTAAGGGGACAAATTTGAATCCACCTTAACTAACAGAGGGCTTTGTGCCTATCGATTATATACTATTAATTCATATCTCAAGGATTTGATGTCACTAAGGAGCATATTGGCAGCAAAACCACTTGGTTCAGAGGGCCCCGGGTCATAACCGTTTATCCTGCGGTGCAATTTGGCAGTAAAACTGCTGGTTACTATACACGTACCACGTCCGTACTGGCAGAAGATTATTTGAGAATGGATCATAATGATATTTTCGACTAGGCATTAGCTCTATGTGAGCTGAAGTAAATTTCAATTTGTCCACTAGACAAATTATTACGGAGGGTGAATGGATTTGCTTTAAGTGTTTGAATGGATTATTTCAATTTTAAATATTCTGGATTTGGATAGTCTTTGGGATTTTGGATTTTCGGGCATTTGAGTGGCGTTTGAAAATATTTGTGAACCCCTCCGGTTGAGATCTTCGTTCAACATGGCCATCATCGGGGTAATTGGGTCATTTGTAAGTGTTGGTATTTGTGAAAGTTTGGAGGCATTAAAATGGTTGTAGTTAACCCCTCCAGTTGAGATAAACATTCAACACAGGCATCATCAGGGTATTTGGGGTCATTTTTATTTATGAATTGAACCTTGTCGACTCTATCGAGTTGTGGACAGATAATCGGGTTTTGTAAGTTTTATGCCTTTGTTGATGAATTTTCTTTGTTGAAGGTCTTATATGAACGCATTAAACAGATATTCCGGTCGATATCATGACCGTATATCTATTTGATAGTTCGAGCCGTGTCGACTCCTATCTACTAGCATAGAAGGATCAGGCTAGAATTTATTGACCCGTGCAGCATCCTAGACGTCACGTGTGTTCCTACAACACGCTCGCCGGGGCCCATGCGGGTTTTGCTATTGCCCTTGCCTCTTTTATGTACCTATGTGTATACAAATTACGGTGCATGTGCGGGGCATTTTGAGATATTTAACACTGCTCAATTATGTGGGTGACCACCATTTGAATACAGCATTCTATTTGGAAGCTAGTACACGTCTTTTGTATGCTTGTATATGGATTGCAGATCCGATGGCATTGTATCATACTGCGGGTTACCCGTTACTTTGTACAGGTTGACTGTCGTGCACTATTTATTTATTTTATTTTTTTTGCATGTAAATTATAATGCACTAACGAATCTCCTATTTTGCATTTGTAAATACTTGTACCCATTGTAGTTTCTTTCATATTTGTCCAACAGACAGCATGTTGTATGTGACGACCCATTGATATCTAATTGAAATTTTTTTGTTTTGATTGCAATTGAATCATTTATCCATTCACGGGCAAATCATGCTGAAGATCACAAGGTTTTTTTAATTTCTTAAAAGACAGCTTGTGGCTCACATACTGAATTTGATTGCTGATATTTGCATTTTTGTTGACATGAAAACTTCATGTTGTTGATTGTAAGCATGTCATCATATTTTGTATTTGCCTTAACTTGCAAGCGGTTTGATATATTTGTTACATCTTCCTTGTCATTGTTCACAGGTGATCCGCTGTGTATCACAAACCCATTGTTCATTTGCTTTTAAGAACTTCGTTGTCTTGCAAATTACAACTTTATTTCAGATATTATATCAGGTTCCATGTTGTTTTGTTCAATTCAAGTCCTTTATTTTTTTCATTTGAGTTTGAGTTCAAATTAGGCTCATGCTCATTTGGTTCCCCCTGTCATTTGTTCAAGCCTTCTATGGTCCTTGAAAGTTTAATCTCTTGTTCAAATTATTCAAGTCCAGTTAAAGTTCATTGCACTTAGTTCATTTAAATTCAAGTCAAGTTTTGTTTGCTTGATGCCATGTCCCTTGTTGTCCTTTAAGTTCAAACCATGTTGAGTTCAAGTCGTGCAAGTGCACTTGAGTCTAAATCAAGTCCTTCGCATTGTTCAAGTTCAGCTTTCCTTGATCAAATTTGATTTAAGTCTTTTGTTCATTTACTTGAATTAGATCTTAGCTAGTTAGCTCAATTTATTGTTCAAATAATGTCTAAGACTTGTGCATCTTCAGGTAAAATTCCAGCAGCCTCCCGGCATCCCACTCGTTTAGGTGTAAGATTCTATTTTGCGCAAATGCTATATACATATGTTGAAAGTTGCATTCATAATTCATTCTTCAGACAAAATGTCTTAATGAAATAATACTCAGAATAAGGTATATATTGTGCTATCAACTTTTATTGTTACGGCTGAGAATTTTGTTGAAAATGTTTTATGGCTCTGTTATTAAATATTATTCAAATTATTGTGATGCCTGTAGCAGTCATTTCCTTTTTTTTGTAGATCTCTTAGAACTGTTAAGAATGATTTCTAATC